TTATGTAACAGTCCAGTCCTGTTCCAGGTTGCATTATCATAACTACAGCAGTTGTGGTTGGTAGGAAAGTCCAATTCATCTACTCCACCTCTCCCCTATAAGTCATCTGAGCAGTGGTGAAGTGCAGTAATAAAATCCTCCAAGTGGAAAACTGATTCTTAAAACATAAGATCCAGGATGCATACATTACCCACAGGATTACCCCAGTGGATAAGTATAAAAAGAATTGTAACAGTAATTTCCATGTTGCAAATGGTTTACAGGGGTCCCTTTACAAAATCCTGCTGATTTCCACGTGTCTCATGCCATCACAGATCCTTCCTCTTCTCATTTGGTGGCAGTGGGGGGCAGCCCTTATTGCTGCACTAATGGGTACTCAACTCACATAATAACATGTGAGCATCATGCAGTGCAGTAATACTGGGTTTCCTCAGGCTGCAGGATTATGTGATGGCCAGCATCAATTAGTTCGCTTCCTTCTCCAGCAGTTGAGAATTGTAGCAAAAGCTGTTTATTTATTTATTTATTTTTTACTATTACTGGACTATTCAGTTTTATTTTTCTTTTTTTGGCTGGAGTTCAGCTTTAAGAAATAGAAGTTCACCTTGTCCTTAGGAAATGTAGAAGCATAAAAATAAAAGTGAGAAATGAAATACCAAGTATTTAACATAAAACTAGTCAGTTAGAGGTAGCTCCACAGGAATCCAGTTGGCAGCATCATGCATCATTTAAGGTTTCCACTGCCTTATTTCACTATTCCTTAAAATATTTTTCCCAGCTGAGTTCTGTCAGAAGCCTGGCTAACACATCCTAGCTTTACCTTAAATCAAAACTGTTAGTCCTTAGGAGTGCTGCATTTCTACCATCATGTTCTGAGACATAATAGAAAAGCTTGTATTCCTTCAATCTGCAATACAGGAACGGGGGTGGCCATTATGTGTAAGGTTCTGATGCATCTACTGTAAATTTATTTTTTCATTCCTGCATTACGTTAGCTTACTTTTTCCAGACTGAGTTTGAGTAACCATTCATCTCTTTTTGCAGTTCAGTATTGAACATATTAAATTTCAATTACAACACCCAAACTCAATATTCCACTCCTATACACACACACTAGGTACTTTAAAAAAAACATTATTTTGAGGGGTGAATATGTGAAGGATTTTCTACTTAGGATGTGGCTGCTTTTTAAAGTGTATGTCCACTTTTTCAGCCAAATTGGGATAACACCTATTGTATACTTGTTACATGTTTCTCATTCACTTAGCATAACTTAAAAAAAAATAAAAAAAATTGCTGCTTGCATAAAACATTCTCAATTTTCAAATAAAAGTGTTTCTATGTACTAAATTGTCCTCTGGAATGCAAGGGGGTGGGGAGTATAATATTTACTTTAAGTAAGTCGTAACCTAGAATTGATCACCGTCTGTCCTAACAAAGAGTTCAAGATCTAGAAACTTGCCTTCTTTTATAGTATGTTAATGATGGGGAGTTTAGTCTGTCCTAAGTCTTTCTATTAGGACAATCAGAGTTTAATGTTAGTGAAATTGAGGCCTGCAAAATAGAGATATCTAAAAGGTGAGAAATATTTAAAAAAGTATGTTTAGATATGCTGTGTATAGGAAAACATAACAAACGTATTGTGGGGATTTCTCAATTTTGCCAGCGAAAGTGGAAATACATTTGAAAGAAAACAAATTGAAAGACCTTTTGTTTTGATGCACATTGGCTGTATTTGGCTGAATTAACTCAAAAAACAAGGTTCAATTGGGTTTTAAATATGATCATACAGAACTCAAGAAAAAAAATTAGTGCACTTTTAACAGCATGTTAAATTTGATTTATTAGCAGTGCAATGATTTTGCTAAACTGATTCTTTGTTTGAGTCTCTTGGAAACAGAGTTCTTTGCATATGTCTACAATAATATGTGCATAGAACCACAGAAACAAAAATGACCATCATCAAGTTCATCAAATCTACCCCTTTTTCACCTGAGGATATACTTATGTTTATCCCAAGCATGTTTATAGTCACTTATTATTGAGTGATTTACTACCTCTGCTGAAAGTCTTTTCCAAGCTTCCACTACTTTTCCCATAAAATAATACATTCTAATGGTACTTTTGAACTTTCGTCCTTGTAGTTTGAGGTCATGCCCCCTCATTCTTCTCAGCTTCATATTGAAATAACGCATAGAAAACTTTTCTCCCTCAAAGGACAGGTAAGGCAAGAGAAGGAAACATTTTCTGAATTCATTAAAACACTAAAAACCCTGTTCCCTAATACAATGCATATTAATTCATATCTTCAAAATGACATAATTACATAGTTAGTTAGGTTGAAAGAAGACACATGTCCATCAAGTTCAACCTATGGAGATATGGGGGGAAAAAAAAGAAAAGAAGAAAAGCCTAAACAGAATGTTATGCCCACAATTACCCAATCCCATAAGGCAATTGGATATTCCCTGGATCAACATTTTCTGATGCTTAATATACCTATAAGAACTCGATATCCAGTAATATTCTGTGCATTTAGGAATACATCAAAATCTTTTTTTAAACAATTAACTGAACTAGCTAGAACTAGCTCCTGGGGGAGTTTATTCCACATTTTAACAGCTCTAACTGTGAAGAATCCTTTCAGTATGCAAAGGTTAAACCTTTTCCTCCAGACGCAAAGAGTGCCCCCTTGTCCTTTGCAGTGACCTTAAAGTGAATAATTTGACACCAAGCTCTTTATATGGACCATTTATGTATTTATACATGGTGATCATGTCCCCCCCTTAATCGCCTCTTCTCCAGGGAGAACACATTCAGGTCAGTTAATCTGTCCTCATAGCTGAGCTCCTCCAATCGGGAGGCCGAGTGCAGCGCAAGAGTGCAGAAAAAAATAACTGGTGCAATTTAAATGGAAAAAATAAACACAAAAAGACAAAAATAGAGCAACAATGTGAAAAAAAATATTTTGAATCAGGTCAAAATTGTTTACCCTGACAAAAATATGCAAAAATAACTGTGTTGGTCATACACAAAGTTTCAATCTGGAAATATACCATTTTCAGTTGCTCTCTCGAACTTGCTTACTTTGTTATGAATTCATCATACAGCATTTGTATAACCAAACCACTTAGAACACTTTTTATTGTCTGCTTATAAACTTTATCACAATTTCAAGACAACTATGGAAAGGATTGGAAAAACAGGAATTAGTTCATTTAAAGCTCTTCTGCATTTTACATAGGGTTGCATTTCTCAGTGGATACATAATTTTCTTGCATACACAACAAAAATGTAATTATGATATAACACAAAACAAGTTAGATGATGCTTTTTCAATCTAAATCAAGTCAGATGTAATGATACAGCCAGAATTTTTCTAAAATTTTGCAAAACTTAGGATATGTATTCGAAGAGGGGATTTTGCTTTAGGAGTAATAATGAAATATCATTAAATGTATGTTGATTCACAATTAACAAATGGCATGCCTCACTTGTGCTGACTTGTGTATGCTTCTGTAAACCACATAAAAGTTTTTTTAAATGTATATATTTATTGCATGTTTCATTACTGCTATGGGCAAATGAAGTGAGCATGGATTGTAAGCTAAGAATCTCATCCTTTGCTGTGCTATGATGAGCCAAAATTCCATTACTGCATCTGTGTGATTCTGTTTTGCTTCCACCAGTTTCTGCTGCAAAAAAACGACATTCATGGAAATCAATATAAAGAATTTTGCAAAAATCATATATGAATTTAAATTTATGATTCAATTGAACATATCTAATGCTACAACAAGAATAAAGAAACATTCTGCATAATGTAAAGTAAAATAAATACAGTATATGATATTGATTGTTTTCAGAAATCAATTATAAAAGTTTTCTTTTTTTCCAGATCACGTTTTGCTTATGTAAAAGAACAAATAACTTAAAAATATGCTAAAATGCACTTAATTTAGTTTTGTAATAATTGTTGCTGAACATTATGTTGCATTCAATTAATTAAAGTGCCATTCTCAAAATGCAACATGTTACTAAATAAATTACATTCTTAAAGCTGAGCCACAATCAGTACCTAAAAATAGCTGCAACACTGAAGAAGAGGAGGAAACCTTTTTTTCTTCAGGCACAGATTATATAGAACGTCTGGACTGAAAGCTAAGTAACAGAATCGCTTTAAAAGCAGCACTTTGCCAGCCTAGGTGTAATCCTTTTGTTTTAAAAGAAAAGTACTGTGGAATAAAATAATGCCACATTAGGGCCCATATAGTATATGATTTAAAGCAGACATTGCACTAAAAACACAGTTCCGCTTGTTTACTTTGCACTCCCATTCCAAAATGCAATGAATTAAAAAAAAACTATAGTGAAAATAGTTATTAAATATACTTACCTTAGCTATGGTGGCCGTGACATCACGGTCCTTCTTATGAGATCCCAGGAAATTCTGGGTAGTCCAGTTCTCACAAAAAGATACTCCTGCACAGCACTGGAGCATCATCTGATCAGATTTGGGCTACCCAGCATTCCTCAGTTGGAAGGAGTGTGACGTCACCTCCTGCAGTAAAGAAGATGGGAGTAAGCATGTTTATTAACTTTTTTCCTTACAGGTATTATTTTTTATTTATTGCAACATTTTGGCAATGTGGTGTGGCCAAAATTAATAAGTAGTTCTTGCTTGTAGTATAGGGTTGACTTCAATCTACTATTATAAATCTATACGTTGCATAGCATTAAATGTTCCATACAATAAGATTATAATTTTTTTGCTTACTATCTTAGTATTTTAGGTTTAGATAAAATGTAAAAAGTAATGGGCCACTCTAGTTTGTGTATTATTTTTCATATTTAAAATGTAGAAAAGAAAACCACAGCAACCCAATACATCCTACAAACAGACCATTCATTTACATATTTTGCTACTTTTGTTTTTAAGTTTTAAAGTTATTATGTGCATGCTATTTATTTAAATGCATCCATCTTTATTTTATTCATAGTTCTAATGGAAAGTCTGTGTCATGGTCTGAACCAGGTGGAAGACAAGTACAGAAGGGGCAACACATGTGGCACAGATTATCAGTACATGTGAAAACCAAGGAGACCGGGGCATCAAATCAAACAGCTGTAATCAAGCCTATAACCAAAGGCTACCAAGTGCAGAGCAAGAGTCTCACCTTTTCAGATACGAGCACTAATACATTGTATAATGTAGAGGAGGAAGATGAAAATGAGCCAGCAAGGTTCAATCTTCCCAGAAGCCCATCCATGGTGATACATAGGCGGTTGACCACAACCCCACCACCTTTTCAAGAATACGAGGAAGGGTCAAGATACCTGTCAGATCAAGTCTCCAAGAGCCTACCTTTGCAAAAGTCTATTCTTGACCAACTTCATGGAGTGATAAATAAATTCTCTACTGGAATTCCTGACTTTAACTCAATTATACCAATACCAGGACCAGAGAATGGAGTTGACTCCATCTATTCCACTCAGCAAGTGCTTCCACTTCAGATGGCGGCTTTTGGTGAAGGTGTAGACTCCCCCACAGAAGAGGTGGAAAATGAAAAATTAAACCTTATTCAGGGTTACATGTATGATAACACAGATTCTCCTGATGAGGACCTTGTTCCGAGCAAATTAGCACTGGAAGACTCACCGGCTTTGACACCTCCTTCCCCTTTCCGGGATTCAGTAGCTTCTGGCAGTTCTGTGCCTAGTTCACCTGTGTCTGAGTCAGTGCTTTGTACACCCCCAAGTTTGACCTATGCTTCAGTCATGTTAAGGGACTTCAAGCAGACTTCATCCACCTTGTAGGCAAAGTTCTTTTTTTTGTACAAGGCAACACAGGGCTTGTCATCTGGCAACAAAACAGGACAGTTTTTAACACCGAGCAAAGCAAATAAGTGCCCTGCACTAATACTGATCTCTATGAGGGCTCATAACTCTTCTGAATTTTTACACTGTATTACGATTAAAAAATACAGTGTATTATATTTAAACAAGCACAACATTGTAGCCTACATCTATGGTGATATATTAACCTATTGTACTCATACTCAACAGTTTTGGTATACCTTCTCGTCCACCTAAGTTACATTTATCTCAGCAGACACTGATCATGGAACTTAATCTGGAAAATACCATCCTATATGTGAAATATTTGTATGTGTGTAATTACCTTAATGTGAATAAGCCTAGGTTTGTCCACTGATGATAGTTTATACTGTTTCACAGAGATATGTATAGTCAAATAATTTTCTGAACAAAATATATACATTTCACATTTAATTTATTTCTTATTCTATAAAAAAAGTTAAATTAATATATTATATTGCTGTACTTTGAATTCCCTTTATCGTTTAGAATTTAGACTGCATATGTATCCAGACAATGCAGTATATAATAATTGTTTAATTAGGTTGTTATTGCCTACAACCTTATTAATTCATTCAAGCAAGCCTTTAGAAAGTGTTTTAATTGTTCAATGTATATTAGTTCCGTTTAAAATAGGTCATCACACATTACAGTATTAGATCAAAGTTAATATTTTGAATATTTTTATATGTAATAAATAATATGTTCAGAGTTTTATTTATATGTTTATTGATGAGCTCTGTACCTAAAGTGGAGCTGCATTTGGCCATACTGTGCAAAGTAACAGGTTCACTTGCTTTATAGGACATAAGTTACATGTAGCTTTTCTCCATTTGCTCCCTCATTAAACAAATCCACTCTAAACAGGCTGGTGGTCACATGCTCCCTCACACCAGGAAATGCCAGGTATTTCGCCGGTGTGCTTTCGGGGGAACAAAGTGGCAGGGGCATGAATACCTTATTATCCATAGGGGTTAATGGATGGCACAGAGTTTGGGAATCTTTACAAAAAGATCTTTATAGCAACAGTGCTTAATTTGATTACAGGAGGCTGCAGGAAGTGCCAGTTATTTCGCAGGTGTGCTTTCAGGGGAGCAAAGTGGCAGGTGCATGAATACCTTATTATCTATAGGGGTTGTTTTACTAAAGGCAACTAGGCTGTTTGCTTTGCAAGCAAATTTGCACTTTGCAAGCAAATTTGCACTTTGCACTTGCTCAGTGAATGTATTGAAAATTTACTTTGCAAGGAATTCCCAATCACGAGCAAGCAAACTAAGAAAAAAAAATAGTTTTGCTTGCACATGATTGGATGATAGAAGTCAGCTGAACTTTACCTCATTCTCTAAGCTAAGGGATAATTTCCTTGCACAGTGCAAGTTCCCTTGCAGTGTGAACAGTCTATTTGCCTTTAGTAAATGAACCCTGTAAAAGGAGCCTGTTACTTATGCCCAATAAGGGCAAAGTATAGGTTTGCTTTAAATAGGCATATGTTGCCATGCAGGAGAAAGGTGCCATTACAATAGACATTAGATGGTTTTCCCTGAATCTGGCAGACTTTGGCATATTTACATGTCAAATGTTATGCATATGGCTACCTTAAGGTCAGAGCAGAAAACATTGGAGAAGATCTTAATTGGGAAAATATACTATCACCCCCTGTTGGACTTTTACAGTGGTTTTCTCCTAGAATAAGTATAAATCATTCTGGTGCTGGGGATTTTCTGTTCAGTGCAAAGATATGCATAATATGAGTGTCCCTGCACATATCTGGCAGATGGTGTCAACATATTCTAATGCAATGCTATGTCTATATCTAACAAAGTGTATCTGTAGGCATTGTTATTATATTTTTAGATAGAAAGGGAAGGGTTAGACTCTGTGAACTTTTAAATTGCTGTCTGTGTCCTTGTTGGGAAGATTTACTTCTCTATTTGTACTGGCGACCATTCTAACCATAAAAAAGGGGTAATCCAAAATGTTAAAGATGTCACCAGAGCAACAGAAAAGGGGACATCTTTCAGTGGGGACATCTGTTCCAGTGACTGCCTAAAGGGGGTGAGTTTCTCCTGTTTGAATCATTCAGCTGTGTGAAGGCTGATATACCTGTACCTGCTATTCAGGTCTGTTTAACCACTTCAAGACCAGGTGTTTAGACCCCCTTCCTGGCCAGGCCATTTTTCAGTATTCAGCGCTGCGGTACTTTGACTGACGTTTATTCCGTCATGCAGCGCTGTACTGAAATGAATTTTATACCATTTTTTGGACTTGCTTAGTATTTAAAACACAGCATATGCAATATGTTTCATATTAGGCTGATTAAAAAGAAATACTGTTTTACTTTACTTTTGTCCCAGACATAAAAAAGAACATATGTAAATACATATAAAACGTATACATTGCATTTCAATATCTGAAAATCTGTACAGATAGGGAAAAGCTCTACATTTTACATGTTAACAGAATTTGTTTTCCATATGGCATAAGCTATTTTGGTTACTGGTCTTTAAACGATAGCATCAAGTAGCCAGGGTGAACGTCTTTTTTTCATTTTATTTATTGTATATTGCACAGATTACAGGAAGCACCAAAGATCTATACATTTCTCAATTAATCCATATGCCCACATGCACAGAGTTTGGGAATCTTTACAAAACGATCTTTTTAGCAACAATGCTTTATTTAATTACAGGAGGCTTCTGAAGCAGGGACCTGCGGTCAGCTGACAACTTTTTCTTCATTCAGACCAACTTCTAACACATTAAACAGCAGGGAAAGCCTCCCTGCCTCCCTGCTGTGTGTGGATGAAGCGCTGCCTGTTAATTACAGGTGGAGCTTCATCGGGCTTTTAACAGCTATGTTAGGTTACACAGCAGCGAGCTTCCTCACTGCTTTGTGTAACCTAACATAATGAGGCTAGAGCTACAACAGCCTCTTCTTTGTATTATAGGCTTGAGCTCTGTGGTTGGTTACCATTGGTCCAAGCTGTCCAATAAAAAAAAAACACTGAGGACATCTATCTTGATGCCTCACCAGTGACGAGCAAGTGAGGGATAGGGAGGCTTCTCCCTTCTCCCTCCCTCCTCCACACATAGCTCGGTGACCGGGTTGGGGGTGGGGTAGGGGGAATGCCTCACCTAGCATGGACCTTACTGCACATCTCTGTTCTGCAGTTACAGCTATAAGTAGTAGTAGTAGCTATCAGTATAACTGATAAGTAAGACACCTGTCAACCTAAATAGAAAGTATGGCTTTTATATGAACTGTATATATAATTTTTTGCTTTATTATGGCTAAAACTAAAATGTAAATACTTTTTTAGCCAGGTATCTGTAAAATATTGCATATGAATATTTCATGTGTACCTATTTTCAGCCAGTAAATGGAGCTCTAGGCTCCTTTTCACATGTTTACCTGTCTTTTCGTAGCTGCTCTACTGGGGGAAAAGCCTGTTGTTTACAAAGCTCAGTAGTTTAAACTCAAATTTATAAACACAACTGAATGAGTTAGCGAACAAAAGTGGCATAGGTGAACATGAACAATTGTAGGACAACCCTTTATCAAGTCAAATGAGAAACACATAGCAGCATATCTCCAAAACCTTCGCATTCTTGTTGTTTTACTGCACACATAAGGTTTGGGTGAAATGCATTGTTTGGCAGGCCTTATACCTGAAACTACACCACCTGTATTTTTTCCATAGTGTTAAGACTATTTGTCGAGCCACTGTGATAAATCTCACATTGATGTCAACATACAGTTCACATTGAGCACATCATATGTTCTTGCGTTGTAATATCTGCTTGTGGCAAACATATTTTCCTGCTTGTAGGCTTTTGATCATTTGATTGCTATTTATATTATTGACGATAGGTAATGCAATTATTAACCATGTATACAAAGTGTATTTTAATGTATTGGCAAACATAACATTATTGGTGGGTATTTCATTTGGATAGCATTATTGCAGATCTGTATCCCGAGCAGACACTTAGGAATTTATTTATAAGTTTCACACAAGATTCACAAAACTTTTACGCAAGATTCACACATTTTTCATATTGGATTAAATTCGAAAAATTTAAAAAAAAAAAAAAAAGACCCTTTAATAACATTACTTTTTTAAGCATTAGCACACAAGAAAAAAAAGTGTGTATAGGAGTACTTAAACAGCAGAGCCACAGCTATTTTGTATTAAAAGCCCAACTTCCCCCCAGTGTCCCCTGCTGTTTTAATTTCTTTCTTTTCTATACAGCAGTTTCAGTTTCAGTTAGGTCTCATGATGTTCAGGATCCCCTTCCATTTAGGATCCTCACATGGACATTGGAGGTCCTCAGGGCAGGTTCACACCATTTTCCTCAAAATAATGTGAACCTGCCGCAGTTCCAGTGCATTCCAGACCAGACAAAATGAGACATGCAGTATTTTTCTGGTCTGGTCTGGAACGGACTGCACTGGTGTGAACAGAGGCCAGAAATAGCATAGGGACACATTAGGATGCATTTGGGGTCTGGAAACAATCTGGTCTGGTCTGGAGATGATGTGGTGTTAATGGGCCCTCAATTATGCAGATAGCAGTACAGATGTGGTAACATCATTGCTGCTTTGTGCACCATTACATTATAAGAATGTCTTCAGTCTTCCTGGTTGAATGATGTTGGGTGTAATTCCACCTGAAAGACTGAGGACATCTAGTGGCAAAATGGGATTACTGTGGCAGACAGCACCAGAGAAGAGGTGAGTATTGCATCCAAAGCTGTTTTTTTTTATTTTACACACTAGCCTTTTTTTTCTTTAAGGGCTTGCCTGGAGTTGGTGTTTAACAGGTTTCCACATTTAGTTAAATCAATATACCTTCATGGAGTTGATTTTCTATATGTGCAGAACACATTAATTTAGCTTACTTATGAGGTGACGCTGTGTTTAATCATCCAACCATGTACAGGGCAAAACTGTTTTTTGTTTCTTTTTAATTTCCTTGCACATGATTGGGCAATTCATGTGACTTAAACACACCACTAAACCAACTACTTTCCTAACTCAACCCCATGTCCCAATAAACTTAAACACCCCTGATGTACACCAT